CCAGAGCTGCAAACGAAAGGTGAAATTTGGGAGCAAATCGACAAGTGCTACGCCAAAAAGGTCGAGCAGCGACCGTGGTTCCTGCCAGATGGATCCCCAGCAATCAAGGGCAGCCCACTCAACCCTCGGAACCTCAAGTCCGCCCAGAAGAAATACATGAAGAGGATCATCTCCGAGGGGTACGACCCCGAGGGCAGAGGCATCCCGCAGGGGTATGAATCAGACGTGGACTCCAGCGAGACCCTCCTCCTCGGAGGTAAGCAGTTGGCCATGGCGTTCTATCGTGCGTGGGAGCTTGCCCCGACCAACCCAAACGTGCTTCGGGCCAAGGAGTTGGGGTACAAAGTCATGATGAGGCCGAGGGAGATGCCGAGGGACGTCATGGATGAGATCGTGAAGCACAGCAACAGGAACAACAAGGGCGTGCAGGACACGTTGCCAGAGAGGGTGCTCGCAGTCCCTGGAGTTTTGGCAAATTTTAAAGATGATTTGGCAAGTCGGCAGATCGATCCAAGTACATTGCCCACGAAGGGCGAGCACACGTACCACAAGTTGCTCGCGACCTTCATCAGCGATCGGTACGAGGACGCAGTATTCGCAACCATATTTGGTGAAGCACTGTATCCCGAATTTGTCCCCGAACCAAAATCGACGGCCCGTCGACGGCCGCCCCCCTCTCTCTTCTGGGTCTCTTTAGATATAATTATTTGCTGCCCTACAGGACACGTACTCGGAGTTCCAGCTGTTCAAGCATGCCAAGCAGATTTACACGAACTTGACCAAGTCCAAGATACCTGGTGCTGGTGCAGCGCCCTCGGCGTCGGATCCGCTCGAGGTGAACATGTTCCAAGTGCACAAGTTCGTGTCGTGGGTCGAAGAGAACACGGATGCAGAGGAGATCGAGAAAACAATGGGCAGGTGCTTGAGCTCCGTGGCCGCGTGGTCCAAGGAGATGTCGAACTTGCTCGACTATTTCGCGAGCGAGGACGAGGGCAAGGTCTGGGAGTATATTTTCTACGTCGGTCTCGAGGCTTGCTTGCCAGTGGACGACGAAGCCCCTTTGAACCAGGGCTGCTACTTCAATGGCGCCCCAAAGCTTCCGTTACTCTTCAACTCCAAGATGACCGTGGACACCATGGAGAATATGATGGGCATGCTGAGCGCTAAGGTTGAAGGAGTGACCCCCTCGACTGATGTGACACTGAGCGGCAACAAGGGGTCCGCGAACAATACCAAGAAAACCAAGCGGGACGATGGCACTGCAGCTCTAGCTGCATTCAAGGAGCATGCCGCGGACGCGACAACCATTAAGAGCACTATCTGGGTCGAGACCCTGAAGACGGCCATCATCAATCCTTTCGCCTGCTTGCGGGCTACCAACAGTGTGCAAGGAGAATGTTCATGTAGTGATCGAGTTGGGATCGTTGCTGCACGGATGGCTCTCCATCTATGCTGGGCCGAGCGCGTGCCGAACATGGATGCCAAGAGGGTCTGGTGGGGCCCCGTCCGCAAGGGTATCGTCAACTTCGTCATCAACCAGCATCCTCAGTTGTTCAGTGTAGGGTATTTGGCTGGGGTGCCTGGGGTGCCGTCGTCAGGCGGCAACGACAGCGACCTCGCGAAGTTCATGGAAGAGTTTCTCAAAGGGGACGATGCCACCAACATCCCCAACAGTCGGTCGGCGACGGCAGACGATTCGGAGAAAAAGTCGGAGGGCACAGCCAGTGCACCCGTCGACGCGACAGATGCGGTTAAAGCCCAGAGGAGGCTTCAGAAGTTCAGGAGGATGTACCACGACGAGTCGCTGGTCCTGCGCTTGACGAGCTTCGCGAAGCAGTGCAACCTCACGACGGACTGGGGCTACGAAGTTCTTCCCCAACTCAAGGACGCCGAGCAAACCAGGAGGAGGAGGGAGGAGGAGGAGGGGGGAGGAGGAGGAGGAGGAGGAGGAGGAGGAGGAGGAGGGAGGAGGAGGAGGAGGGAGGAGGAGGATGAGGGAGGAGGAGGGAGGAGGAGGGAGGAGGAGGGAGGAGGAGAGTGCACTTGCGAGCGCTGCCAGGAGCTGATGGATCGGGCCATCGCCGTTCGCGACAGCGGGGGGATTGACTCGGTCCTCGAGGTCCTGTTCGCGGATGTCCCAGCCATCGTCGAGCCAGAGTGGGAGGACTTCGCGAATCTATGCGTCGAGTTCGTCCATGAGGCCGGCGTCAAGATGAAGGAGGTTATCCAAGACACGATTGACGCAATCTTCACGAACAAAGACGGGGCCGTGCGACTGACACGGATGCGTTTCCATATTGCCTTGTTAGCGGTCAAACGCCTGATGCCAGAAACCCCCTTCATCAGGAATAAGGTCATCGACGACATGACTTCTGAGGTTACCAACAGCTTCGTTGCTCTGCTGAGGAGCATCCGCACGGCCGACCTCTACAAGAAGGCGTGGCAGGCCTTCATGAAGTGCGAGACTGTGAATGCCTGCAAGGACTGCGTCTCGACGATCTCCCAAGAGCTGGACAGTGCCGCAACGGAGACTATCAAGAAGGAGACCGATGGCATTCCAAGTGCTACAGGAGTCACTACGGCGCCAAGCGTGGCGGCAAGGAGGCACTTCTGCATGTTACGCCCTTCGACTCCTCCTCGTCCAATCACATTCGTCTTTCTCGCTGTCTTGGAAGATGCGGACGATTGGAAGAAACAGATGGGGGAGGAGGTAACGTGTAGAAGTGCCGTCAGGCACATCGGCGACACTTGCATCGTCAGGGTCCTTGGTACGAAAGGATCTCCAAGTCAGTTTCGCATCGTGTTGCAGATCATGGAGTTGGCGCTTACGAGGCGATGCAGTGTTGGGACTGGCCCACACTCCGACAGCGGCTACTCCAAGGTGTACGAGAAGGACGGGATCCTTTGCGTCGACGCGCCCGTGCCGCGCGGGATGCTGTTCAACTACTTCGGGTCGCTCTCCTTAGTGCCCAGCGAGGGTGCGATCAAGATTGCCGAGGTCTTCAATGCGTCCATCTACGCGGCCTGCAAGGATGGGAGCACGAGCCCCTGGTTCTTGGCAGCTTGGGGGGTGAAGGCCCATAAGAGCGTGAAGGCCGCTGCCAAGAAGGCATCGGCAAAGGCGATTGCAGCGGACAAGACAGCTGGCGCAGTCGGTGCACTTCAAAGTTCGTCTTCTGGCGCAGGAACCGTTGCCGTGGAGATCGCGCCAGGTGGGCAGCTACTGCCCGCAGGTGGTGCAGGCTCCTCTGAAGCATCTGCTGAGCAGCCGAAGTCCCAGGCTCCCCCTACTAAGAAGCCGCGCGTGAGCAAGTCTGTAGTGCCTACTAAGGTGCTTGCTGAAGAGCCATCCATGAACGTCAAGTTCGCCAAGTTCGATATCTCCCTGGCCGATGTTAAGAAGAGTGAGTCGGCGCTCCTCTTCAAAGTCTTGCCCGACTCTATCCCCGTGGAAATCCCGTACCTCGAGGCCGCTGCTTGGACTTCGAACGCCGTCGGCACCGTGCAGCTCACCAGGGGCGTTGTCCCAGGCATGCTCTCGAAGGAGACCTGCAAGGATGCCCAGAAGAGCATCGACGAGAAGCGGGCCAAGGAGACGGCCGCTAACAACAAGGTGGCCAGCCAGGCAGCGAGAAGCGTCCTCACGAGCACGCCGTGCCCAGCGTGCCCTAAGCACTTGAAGCTCTGAGTGTTTGCAGCTTTGCAGGTCTTGCAGTTTTCGGCGGATGCGTTCTAGGGATCGCTCGGCCGTGGCCGAACGCCTGCTGGAAGAGGCAGGCCATCTCTCAGGCACGGGCGGTGGGAGGGTAGTGAAGGAAACGTGGCGGGAACAGGAAAGTTACGAGAGAGAGGCTGCGCCTCCACGAGTCGAAAAGAGAACCCAACGGGGAGGCTCCAGCGATGACTGCATAGAGCAGTCGATTCGCTGAGCTGCAGGTGTGTTGCCCTCGGTAGCGTACTCGTCTCATTATCTTCCTTCTCATGCTCTTGGCCCTCTTGTTTTCCGTTGCCCCTTCTCCCCTCTTAGCCCCAGCATGGGTGTGCTTGGGGCTGGGGCGCTGCCGAGACTCGAAGAGAGAGAGAGAGAGAGAGAGAGAGAGAGCGAATGGGCCATGGGCCCATGGTTCCGCTTGACTAAAAACGTAATCATCACCATCACTATCATCATCATCACCCTCGCCATCGTCACATCAAAATCGCCATCACCATCACCATCAGCATCACCATCATCATCATCATCAGCCTTATCATCATCATCATAATCATCACCATCATCATCATGATATCATCGCAAATGTACTCATCACCATCACCATCGTCACATCGGCCGTGCTGTTTATTGTGTTTACTGAATGATGGTCTGAGCCAAATATGGCCGTATTGTCTATATGTGACGTATGTAATCGCACTATGCGGTTGTGTCCAGACTGTCGAACATGTACGTGTGGATAACACTGGTGGTACACGACTACACGAAAATAGTTGTCGTACCTAGCTAAGGAGAGGTTCGCGTGACCCAGGAGATCTCTGGCGACGCACCTCCCCACTTGTTCGTGTCCAGGGCAAACTTGTTCGCGACCTTCCTGCCCCTGGGGGTTCCATTGGGCCTTTCGGGTCCCGAGGTGCCCGCAAGAGAGTCCAGAAGGAGCTCTACGAGGGCCCCAAGCTCCCGTACGGTCGGACCGAGGTATAAGATCGAGGTCGGCTCGGGGAGGCTACCCTGATGTTCTTCGTGCTTGTCTGATGTTCTTCTGCATCCTTGGGGAGGGTCCCCTCGAATGTTCTTCAGTTCAGTTTGGCGCCCCGGAGGGTCTCCCGTTCTTGAAGGATGCTTTCCTGTCCCGGGTCCGGCCGTAGAGGGCCGCAGGATGGCTGTTTTGTTTTCTTCCCTCCGCCCTCCTCCCTCTGCCCTCTTCCCTTCTGCCTCCTCCCTCCGCCCTCCGCTCCTCCGCCCCGCTCTCTCCTGGAGGAGTGATCGGTGGCCTGCCTCCCCACGCGAGGCAGCCCTGGAGGTCTGCACACAGAGGGTCGCCTGCAGCATCTGCTGCGAGGAGGCCTGCTTGTCCGCGAGGGGGGCGGCATTTTTGTTGCAGTGACGAAGCGTCGCGATCTGCTTATAGCCCCAGAGAGATGCGATAGGCGGTTTGTACGAAGCATTGTGAGAAGTGTTATCATAGCATGCCTGGTTGAGCGCTGACAGGCCTGTAGGGACACCCAGGACGGTCGGCCTCTGCTCAAGGCAGACAGCTATAGCGACACTCGTCGTCTTTCGACGATGGGTGATCCAGCTTCGAGGATGCTGCTCCGAGGATCGAGGATTCAGGTTTTCGTGGCATTTTTTTCGGTCTCCGGACATGTCCGTGCAACGTACGTCGGCATCGTCGTCGTTGTGGTCGTCCTCCGCAGGCCTCAGACCTCTCTCGTTCAGCTTTTTTTTTTTACGGAGCCGTCCTGTTGGACGGATTATTGGCCGCGCCTCGCTACGCCACTGACGATTCGAGACGATGCGCCCGATGTGTTTCTCTATATTTTCGGCGTGCGGGGGCTTTGCGGAGCCCTGGGGCCGTCAAGAAATAACTCAGAATAACCAGCCAGCCTCTGGGAACGGGTCGAGAGCTTTAAGGGGGCCAGCGATTCCACAACATCGGGTTCGTTGGAGATTCGGGTCGAGGGACGTGGGGAGGATCCCTTCTGCACGCTGATGAGTTGTCGTCCTTCTGAGTCTCCTGGAGGGCCCTCGTCACCGCCGCGGAGCCTGCCTCGAGATATCCTGGTCTGAGAGCGCGTCTGGGCTCGACCTGGTCGGTGTTTTGGCGATGTCGTGGACCGTTTTCGTTTTGATTTCGGGTTTCACGCGAAGTCTCGGCAAGGGGGCAACGGGTCCTGAGATTGTTCGCCGTTTTCTGGCTCTCGGGGACCACCACGGGACCCGTGACTGTCAGAAAACGGTTCAGGATGAAAAACTCGCCTTGGGGGGAAGGCCTCAGGGTCCAGGACCTGTTTCCCTCAAGACCCGTCGCCCCCATGCTAAGAAAGCGGATCTGATACAGAACGCGCGAACACGACAACACCACAAAAACAACACACCCTGTTTAGGTTGTGCCCTGGAGCGCGTTCGAGGAGATGTCAAAGCTGATTTTTCGGGAGGCCCTGCCGTCCTCCCGTCATTGTGCCCGGTCGTCTCCCCCAGACCTCCGACGTGGTTCTGTACTTATTGGTGCCTATGTTGTCTGTTCCTGTTGTTGTTGCGTTTGCTATTGAACTCACTACTGAAGAACAACTATTGTTGATCCCCCTCGTCCGGTGACTATTGTGTTTTTTTTCAATTGAAGTGCTTCCTCCAGGGCCCGCACCGTGTTTATTCTTATCAGGGGAAGTCATTTGTCAAACTGCCTTGTTGGCCCCCGAGCTACAACAACAACGGCTCCCGCCCTCGACGGTCAGGAGTCACACTCTCTCTGTGGACTTCCTCAAGATGGATTTGGGAATCGAGCTGCTCGAGAGTTCCTCACGATTCATGCAGGACGCACGCTTGAGCAACCCGCCTGCTCGACCTGGCCGCCTGGGCCCTCCTGCCCGACCCGCCTGATAGGGTCTACCCGCCCGATCTGACCGTCTGGTTATGCTGGCTCCCTCGTGGGCTCAGTGGGGGGGGGCTCTGGAGGCCACATGGGCCTTACCGGGGAATCCTGGGACCGCCTTGGGCCAAGGACGCCACTCGGGCAACGCCCGAAAGCAGGGCGGAAACGCCGCCTTGGCCACGGGCTTGCGATCCCCATGCCCCGTCGTCACTCGTTGGATGCTCGGCCACGCGCAGTGGGGGGTGGGGCGAGGGGGGAAGGCTTCTTAGAGACATCCCTGCTTCTTAGAAGGCGCGGCCCTTGATCATAGACGTAAGGCCAGCGCCTTCTAAGAAGCAGCCTGCTTTCAAGAAGCCTTCCCACCTCCCCCTACCCCCGTGTGCGCGCCGCCAAGATGCTGCGTCGGATACTGCAGATGGTCACTCCTTTCTCTCCGCCTCGTCATCATCGCGCCTCCGGTGCGCCATTCCCCGCTCTTTCATTGCGCCGCCCGGAGTGGCAACGTTCGGGAGAGGGTCTCATGGGGGGATGCCTCGTCCCCCAATCGCTTATGCATCGCCGAGGGGGATCCGTCAGGGGCAACGCCCAGGGGGGATAGGCTCAGGGGCAACGTTGGGGACTGTGCGGATTGGCTATCGGGGGCCTGTCGCCGATCTATCGACGGCGTGCCCCCGATTCTAGGTCGATGGTTCCTCCCCTGAGCTGGTCCCCTCTAAAGTTTCCCGTCAGCCTCGGTTGCGGAAGGCACAGGGTGCGGGGGCCCTCCCTGGAGATCTCGTCTAGTTGCGAAGAAACTGCGACGGAACGGTTTTGGCAATGTTCGGCCTTTGGGGGCTCTTACTGGGCCTAGGGACTGTCAATAATGACTCAGTATGAAAGCCTTCCTGTGCAAGGGGTGCAGACCTCTGGGGGTCCGCGCTGTGAAGAGGTAGTTAACGCTTCTCGTATCCCCACAGGTCTATCCAGAATCGATACCTCGGCGAGCTGCCTTGATCAAGGAAGTGCGCGAGCCAGCGGAACAAAGGGGGGAGCCGTCCAACCGAAGCTCGGGATAGACTGGAGCAGACCTGGGAGTCAAGCCTAAGTGCCTTCGCGCATCTGTTGATAAGGGGAGCCTCTGGACAGCTTATTCTGGCCCCAGAGGGGGCTTTTCTTGGAGGCCTTCGGCTGTCCCTTGAGACCTCTTGAGCTTTCTTGGGCGGCGACGATTCGAGCCCCCCGCCGGAGCCCTCAAGATCGCTTTTTCGGGCCCACTTGTGGTGCTCTTGGGCACTCTTTGTGCGTCTTGGAGCCATCTAGGGGCCGTTTTTTCCGCGCGACCGGTCGGATTGCAACAGTTTTCCGCGCGACACTCGTCTGGTTTTTCTTGAGCTAACTTGTGCCATCCTGGAGGCCATCTTGGGCTATCTTGGACAACCTTGGAGCCATCTTGGCCCATCTTGGACGCATTGACCGCTCGCGACCCCCCCCCCAGTTCCAGGGTAGGCGCTAGCCGCCTCGCCACAAGCCGTCTCGCGCATTCCCACTTGCCTTCCCAACGCAGCAGTAGCTCCCGAGTATCAGCATGGGCAGGGGCCGCCAGCGACAACCATCGGATGCAGACGCCAGCCAGGTGCACGACGCCGCCCGCGAGTTGTGCCGCGCGTGCAGATGCCCCCCAACCACCCCTGTCAAGTCATCATGCAAACTGATCGCGGGGCGCCCGCGCACGGCCCAAGATTTTATCGCAACGTGGGCTTTGCATTCGTTTTTGACAGGGATGGTGGGTCTGCACCCGAGGGGCAGTCTGCTACCCCCCTCGTCTCTCTCTCTCTCTCTCGCGGAGCGCCCTAACATGATTCATAGTATTCGCAAAGTGCAGTTTGTTGTGTTGTTTGATTGGCATGGGGGGGGAGTCGGCGTTGGCTCTGGTTAGGGACCCGTAGGAGTGGGGGAGGGTTTGTGCATTCATAAGGTACAATTGTAAACCCCTTCCAGAAGGGGAAGAGCGGGGTTGGCAAAACGAGCTCCCTACAACCACCGAGGCCCTGGAGGGCCGGTGGAATACCACGTGAGCGGCCAACTTACGTTGGACGCGACAGCGAACCTCGGGTTCTCTGGCGGATCGTTTTCTTCAGCCCGCGGGCCCCAGAGCGCTCCCGACCCCTTTCCCAGAGCTTGCCTTTCTCTCTTCCCTTACTTGGCGGCGCCCACGGGTCGGCGCGAGGGGGTTGGGCTTCCGAGAAGGCGGGGGGCTTCCCAGAAGGCAGGAGCCTTCTCAGAGGGGCCCGCCGGTATCTGAGAGGGCTTCTCAGAAGCCAGGAGGGCCTCCGAGAAGCCGCAGGCCATCTTGGAAGTCCACCCTCGCCTTCCAGGAAGGTGCCCCCCTCGCGCCACCTCCTTGAAGGCGCGCGCCTGCGCATGTTGCCTCTCGTGCCCCTCCTGGTACTCCGCGGGCCTCACCTGCTGCCGGCCTTGACCTCCCTCGCGCTGCGACACGAACACGACGGCGGGTTTGGGGCACCCCTCGCGCCACCCCTCTGCGGGCGCCGCCAAAATCCCCCTGCGCGGCCACGGAAGCAGCGGCGGTGCGGCGGCAACGGGGGCGGGCGGGGTGGGGGGTGCCGCGGCTGTGGCGCGCCAGCGCGGCGGAGGCGCCCTTGCAGAGCGCCTTCCGCCTGGCCTGCCGGCACGGCTGGTCGGGGGGGGCGGGTCCACCAGGGGCAACGTCAGCGAGGGTGTTCACAGTTCGGCCAGTTCGGTTGCGTCGCAGCCAGTTGCGTTCGTTCGGTTCGGTTCGGTCTGTCATTGTGTCGTTGCCGCGTCGCTGCGCCATTTTAGGCCCGTCGATTTCGATCTGTTTTGGTTTCGCTGTCGGTTCACTCGGTTTTCGATTTTGCTGTCGCCGTGCACGGCCGTAGTCAGCGGGGACTGGCTGGGGGCGGATGCTGCAGATGGTCACTCCCTTCCCTCTGCCCCTCCTCGCCAGCATCACGCCTCTGGCTCGTGGCCCCCACCCCGCTCTGGTCTGCGCCCTCATGGGCAACGTCAGGGGGAGGCAGGCTCATGGGGGGATGCATCGACCCTTAATTGCCCAATCATCGCAACGTCAGGGGGGGATTCATCGGGGGCAACGTCAGGGGGGTATAGACTCACGGGCAGCGTCAGGGGAGATACGCTTAATTAGGTCATCTGACGTTTTTGTCGGTTCTCGGAGTTTTCCTAGCCTCGGGATGCTCTCCAGCAGCGGCGCCTCGCCGAGAAAAGTTCGGAGCTGCCTGGATCGTCCCGAACGGCCGCCTGAGAGCTGAGTTTCGACCGGACGCTAGAGGGTGATACGCTCAGCGGGGATGGACGCATCGACCCCCAATCGCCCACTCGTCGCCAACGGGGGCCCGGTGGCCCATCCCGCCCAGAAGCTCGAAGTTTCGCTGTCGGGGGCCTACCGCCGATCTGTGGGCCGAGTGCCGCCGAGATTCCGTGTCGTGGCGGCGAAGAGCAGCAGAGAGGCGGAGACCCGGAGAGGCCGTTTCTTTTCGGGCAGGCTCGGGCTGTGCTTGCTTGGCAACGGGAGGCGGGCCTTCACGGGGGGGGGGCCGGGCGCCTCCCACGAGCGCCCCAAGGAGGGCTGGGAATCGCACAAGTCGAAAGGCATTCGCAGGCTCTGTCGGACCAGTGCTGGATGGCATGGCGGCGAGGGGGGGGTGGAGCAGAGAAGGCCAAGGTACCCATACCGCTACCGTTCCCTCGTTTTCCCCTTTTTGGGCCTCCTGGGATGTCCTCGTCGCCACCGCTGGATTCGCCTCGAGATCCTGGTCAGAATGCACCACGGGAGAGGTGCGGGAAGTAGCGGTATTGGTACCTGTGGTTTCTCAGTGGATGGTGCAAACTGCGATGCGTGCAAGTTTGTCAGAATCTAAATGAAAATTGGCTCGATCTTCTTTCGAAGGTCTGCATGGATTTCTTGGATCGGCGCTGGGCCCCCCTGGCGGCGCCTCTGGTGCCGTCCCTGGCGCGCTCCACTCGCCAGGGAGCTTCGTTCTTCATCTGTGATGATGATGGTGGTGGTGGTGATGATACTGGTGCTGATGCTGATGCTTTTGCTGATGGTGACGGTGATGATGATGATGATGATGATGATGATGATGATGATGATGATGATGCTGATGATGAGGATGGGGATGGGGATGATAATGATGATGATTACGCTGATGATGATGATGATGATGATGATGATGATTATTATTATTCAATCGCTTCGCTCACTCCGCCGGCCCGTATTGCATGATCGCTACTGCTTCGGCGCGGGCTCGGGGCCATTTCGGCGCCGCCGGAAGGAGGACGATGAGGATGGGGAGGGGGAGGGGAGGAGGAGAAGAGGATGAGAAGGAACGGAGGAGGATATATATATATATATATATATATATATATATGAGGAGGAGGCAGAGAAAAGGGCGGAGGAGGAAGCCTCTCGATGGCATCTTGCGGCGCTCTTGGGGCCAAACAGGGCCGTCGTCCAGATCCTTCTTTGGGAGGCCCTGGGGTCTGTTGAGAGGCCGTTCGGGGGCGCCTGGGAGACATTTTTGAAGCCTTGTATGGCCTCTTTTGAGCCTCCTTGGAGCCTCCTTGGGTCTCTTGGGGGGCTCTTGGCGGCATCTTGGGCCATCGTGGGGGCCTCTCGGGGCCTCCTGGGGCTTTCTTGGGGCGGAAGGCTTGAGGTTTCGGTTCGTGGTCCCCATCTTGGGCCCCTCTTGGGGCCGTCTTGGGGCTCTCTTGGGCCGTCTTGGGCGTCTCTTGGGCCGTCTCGGGGACCGTTTGGGCTCTGGGGGCCTTCTTGGGGGCCTCTGACCTCTTGAGCCGTCTTCGTGCGCTCTTGGGGGCCTCTTGGGCCGTCTTGGAGCATCGGAAAACCGAAAATGCGACAAGGCCAGAATCCTTCCAAAACCATCGTAAAATTAATGATTTTGGCCTCTCGGGGCGCTCTTGTGAGGCCTCTTGGAGGCCACTTGGAGCGTCTTGGCGGCTTCTTGGGCCGTCTTGGGATCATCTTCGGCGTCTTGGAGCGTGCTTTGGGAGTCTCGGGGGCCTCTTGGGCAGTCTTGGGGGCCTCTTGGGGCCCTCTTGGCGCTCTTTGGGGGGCCTGAGAGGCCGTACCCAGGAGGAAAACCATCTCTGAGTAGACCTTCCCGGGCTGCGGTCGGGGTACTTTTCGCCGGGGGACCCCCAGGGGCCGCCCCGCGCGCCCGAACTAGAAAAATTGTGAACCAGTTGCCGGAGATCTTAGCACGCCTCTGGCCCGTTGGGCCGGCGAATTATTTTAGTGATGATGACGCTGATGATGGTGGTGACCATGATGATGCTGCTGCTGATGATGATAATGATGATGCTGATGATGATGATGATGATGATGATGATGATGATGATGATGATGATGATGGCGACAACGATGACGATGACGATGATCACGATGGCGATGGCGATGATGACGATGACGACGACGATGACGATGACGACGGCAACGATGACGATGCGGTGACGACGACGATGATGATGATGATGATGAGGGATGATGAGGAGTATGATCATAAGTTCAATAATGACGATGCTGATGATTATGATGCTGATGGTGATGATGATGCTGGTGATGATGATGATGATGATGATGATGATGATGATGATGATGATGATGATGATGATGATTGGGCTGTTGATCGTGATGGTGATGCTGCTGCTGCTGATGATGATGATGATGATGATGGTGGTGGCTGATAAGGATGCTGCTTTTGCTGCTGATGATAATGATGAAGATGATGATGATGATGCTTGCGGTGGTGATGCTGATGGTGATGTTCATGATGCTGATGCTGATGCAAATGTTGATTATGATGGTGATGGTGATGCCGTTGATGATGGTGATGATAATACTGCTTCTGTTGCCGCTGCCTCTACTTATGATGCTGATGCTGACGATGAGGACGATTCTTACGATGCTTACGGTGGTGATGCTGCTGCTGCTGCTGATGATGATGATGATGATGCCATTGCTGCTGATGCTGAAGCTGGTGCTGCTGGTGAGGCTGATGATGATGATGGTGATGATGATGATGATGATGATGATGATGCTGATGCTGATGATGATGATGATGATGATGATGATGATGATGCTGATGATGCTGCTGCTGCTGATGATGATGATGGTACCATTGCTGCAGATGCAGATGCTGCTGCTGCTGATGGTGATGCTGATGATGTTGCTGCTGCTGCTGATGACGATGCTGATGATGTGATGCTACTGCTGATGATACTGATGATGATGATGATGATGATGATGATGCCGTTGTTGATGATGGTGGTGATGATGATGGTGAAGCTGATGATGATAATGATGATGCTGCTGATGATGACGTTGATGATGAAGATGATGATGTTGTTGGTGGTGCTGATGATGCTGATGTTGATGCTAATGCTAATGTTGATGCAGATGAAGATGCTGATGCTGATGCTGGTAATGATGCTGATGCTGGTGCTGATGTTGTTGCTGATCTGCTGATGCTGGTGATGCTGCTGCTGATGAGGATGATGGTGATGATGCCAACGACGAGAAGGATGAGGAGGAGAAGGAGGAGGAGGAGGAGGAGGTTGAGGAGGAGATGGAGGACCACGAGGAGGAGGAGGAGGAGGCGGAGGAGGAGGAGGAGAAGAAGGAGGAGGAGGACCACGAGGAGGAGAAGGAGGAGCAGGAGGAGGAGGAGGAGCAGGAGGAGGAGGAGGAGGCCAGGATCGATGTTCGAGGTGCTTGGGACGTCTGATGCGTTGTTGGCGGCCTCCCGGGGGCCCCAACTCGCCACGGTCGAGCTCTTTCTTGACCTGCTGGGCAGAACGCGGCCCGGAAGAGGTCCAATTTTCGAAGAAGTGGGGAAGGGTATGCAGGTCTCATTCCGACTCCTCCGACTCGATTCAATTCGATTTCGATTGATTCCGATTTTGGTTCGACTTCGGATTCCGATCTGGGCTTCGGTTTCTGAACGGAGGCCTTACTAGCGTGCTCCATCGATCCTATTCTTTTCGAGCCCCGATCCTGCTCGTCCATTCGATCATGGGATCTCCTGGGTTTGCTGCTAATGCCCCAGCTCATCTCTCCTCCAGCTATCCTCCAGCTGGGGGATTGCCTGCGGACTGGATGTTTCAACTGTTCCTGCTTGTTGTGGGGCTCTCGGGGGACCCCGTTTTTATATTTGGATTCGCCTCGAAATCTTGTTCAGATGACGGCGGGTTTGACTTTTGATGGGGAGGAGGAGGAGAGAAGGAGGAGGAGGAGGAGGAGGACCAGTGCAAACCCAAGAGTCATCAACGATGTTGGAATAAACTCTCCCTCCAGTCCCTCCAAGCTCCCTCTTCATAGTCCCCTACAGTATTCATTTCAACTGAGGGAACTGCCTCGTTGGAAGACAACTCTTTGAAGACCCTGCAGCATGCCAAAACACCATTCTCAGGACCCCAACGCCACGAATCAACCTGACTGTTACGTCTTGACGATCCTGAATCGTGCCAGAAGGCCATTCTTGGGACTTCAGCACCGCGAATCAAGGTAACTGTCGCGCTTTCATAATCCAGAATCTTCCCAACACGCCATTTCTGGTACATTGACGATGGGAATCCGTGAAACTCTTCTAACCTGTGAAAACGAAAGTGCGCGTCGCTAAGGCGAGAGCCACAATTTCAAAAGGAACCTCTATCGACATGTGAAACTATTGCAAGTTTTCCACAATGAATGCGCGCGGCGCTAAGGCGGTAGCCACAGTTTGAAAAGAACCGCCCGCAGTCTGTGAAGCTCTTGCAACGGTTTCAGAAGAATGTGCGCGGCGCGCGGGCGTTGAAGGCTGAGCGCCGACGGTGGTCCAGGACCAGCCAACACGGAACTACCTGGCGGTCGACACGCCGCCGATCGTTCAAGAACGAACGACCCACGCGGTGCAATAAACGAACGCCGAAGTCGTCACCACACGAGCTTGCCGTAATCGCTTCCAGTCGTTGCGCCGCGAAGGCCTCCCAGGGAGCCGCCTCCCGACGCGGGGGCCCTTCTGCGCCACGCTCGCGGAGGGCCCGCCGGGCGGAGCACGGCGACGGGCCTTGGACGGGGGGGGCGGCAGGTATTGCGGCGGTTGCATGCAGCGGCACGCGGAGGCTGCGGCGCGGCCGCACCCGCCCCCGCAGAGCTGTGTGAGGTGGCCGCGCAGGCCCGCCACAGAAGTGTACACACAGGCAACCTCCAGTGGAGTGTTCTGGGGTTTCAGGGGTGGGTGGCGGTGCATAAATCAACACGGAGAGCCAGCGACTTTGAACACCGCTACCTTCCCTGAAGGTACACGCAAAGTTCGTCGGAGGGTGTCTATGTATCCATTTCCGTGGCGTGGCACAGAGGCATCGTCGTCGCTGCCGTCGACGTCGTCGCCCTTTGGTGGTTTTCCAGCCGCCTCTGGAGGCTCGGGTCACCACGGCTGGACTCGCCTCAGAAAACTGGTCACGGTGGACCCCGAGAGGGGTCTGAGGACCAGTTTTGAGCTGAATTCGGCCCGCCTCGCGTCGTTCGCGGGGTTCGGAGGGGGGATCTAGTAGGGAGAACGTTTCTATACACCACCACCGTGGGTGGCCATGGCCATCCTGTTGAGAGCCCGTCAGCGTGTCGCTCGTTCGTTTTTGCCCGCAGACATGGTGCCCCTGTAACAGTAACACCCTGATGGGTTCCCCAGGGCGGCGTAGTAATTGATGCTGAATTTGGTATCCCAGGCATGGTGTGACCGCCCTCCTGGCCGAGGCCAGGATGGCTTATTCACCATACGATAGCCCTGGCCAGGCACGGAGGTGTGTATGTATGTTTGTATGTCTGTATGTCTGTATGTCTGTATGTTTGCATGTATGAATGTATGCATGTATGTATGCATGTATGTACGGATGGATGGATGGATGTATGGATGGATATATACATGTATAGATGCATAAATGTTTGGATGCATGCATGCACGCATGCATGCATGTATGCATGCACGCACGCATGCATGCATGTATGCATGTCTGTCTGTCTGTACGTATGTGTATGTATGTATGTATGTGTATGTGTATGTGTATGTGTATGTGTATGTGTATGTGTATGTGTATGTGTAGGTGTAGGTGTAGGTGTAGGTGTATGTGTATGTATGTATGTATGTATGTATGTATGTATGTATGTATGTATGTATGTATTTATGTATGTATGTATGTATGTATGTATGCATGCATGCATGCATGCATGCATGCATGCATGTGCATGTATGTATGTATGTATGTATGTATATGTATGTATGTATGTATGTATGTATGTATGTATGTATGTATGTATGTATGTATGTATGTATGTATGTATGTATGTATGTATGTATGTATGTATGTATGTATGTATGTATGTGTATATATATATATATCGAAGTAGGCTGGGGGAGGGCCAAGACTGCGACCTCTGGTTCGCATGGGGGGCCGGGGGGGCCTTGAGGGCTCCAAGAGGGTTCAGAATGGGCCGCATACCCCCCTGAGGCTCCCAAGTTGGCCCAAAAGGCGCTCAACGCGCCCCAGGTTGCCTGGAAGGTGGCTGAAGCCCTACATGGTCGGAGAGGGCTCCATGAGGGGCCCCAAGACGGCTCAGCTACCCATGACATGCCAATAGGGGCTTGGGACGCCGAAATTGGCTCCCAGACGGGCCACAAAAGGCCCCAAAGGACCCCCCCTACGACTGTCCAAGAGGCCGCTGAGAAGGCCCTCCAAAGGCAAAATCAAGCACGTCCTATGGAAAAACGTATATTTCTGGGAGTTTCGCTTTTCAGTTCTACCAGCGGTCGCGACGGCCCAAGAGGTTACCAAAATGGGCGCCAGACGGCCCCAGAGGCCCCAAAGAGGGTTCCAAGATGGGCTGAAGAGAGCTTCAAGCGGCACAGAAGAGCTAAAGAGAGCCCCCAGGAAGCCCGAGGGGGCCACCAGAGTATTCCTACATGGTCGGAGAGGGCCCCAGGAGGGCCCCAAGACGGGCTCAGCCCCCCACGACGAGCCAAGAGGGACGCGGAACGGCCGAAATGGGCCCTCAGACGGGCCAGCAAGGCCCCAAAAGACTCCAAAGGAAGGCCGGGAGAGTCTCCAGAGACTGCCACAATGCTTCTAAAAAGGCTCCCGGCACGCGTTCCAGTAGGCACCCGTGTACGGGGTGCGTTGAGAGAAGAGGAGGAGGAGGAGGACAAGGAGGAGGAGGAGGAGGAGGAGGAGGAGGAGCAGGAGGAGGAGGACGAGGATGAGGGAGAGGAGGAGGACGAGGAGGAGGAGGAGGAGGATTGTTGTGATGGTGATGCATGACCATGACGATGACGATGAAGATGGCGGGGATGAGGATGACAATGATGACGATGATCATTACTAATCGTTACCCTGACTAGAACTCGAGTGCGCGCGAAACGCGAGCGATGTTTCTAGTATACATACACATGTATATATATATATATATATATATATATATGTATATGCATGCGTACATGCTTGTTCATGTGCGTGTGCCTGCATGAATGTATGCATGCGTACCTGTATCTCTACATACGTATTGATGTGTGTTCGGATCCTTCTGCGGACGGGGATGAGGGAGGACACCGCGCGTAGGGAAAGAGAGGGGCTCTGCAAGTTTTCTCCCGCTCTCGGGCCCCCGGGGGCTTCCAAGGGCCCGACGGCCGCCAACACGCGATTCAGTCCGAAGAGTTGGTCTTTGGGACATTCCCGGGGTCTTGGGATCCGTTTCCCTCGGGACCCTGGTAATTCATCGCGAAGTACCCGCGCTCAAATCTACTGGCCTTCGGCCCATCCCGCCACCGTGCCTGGGTTGTGGGTATGGAGCCTATTGGATGTTCGTTGGGATCTCGTGGGAGGTCTCTCGAGGGCCTCTTGTAGACTGTTTGGGATCCTCTTGGGGCCTCTTGGGGCCTCCTGGGGCCTCTTTGGGGCCTCCTTGGCGCCTCTTGGGGCCGCCTGGGGGCCTCTTGGGGCGGAAAACTCGGATTCTCGGTTCATGTTCCCTCTCTTGGACCCTTTTTGAACCCTTTTGAGGCCGCCTTGGGCTCTTGGGCCGTCTTGGGCGTCTCTTTGGGCCTTTTTGGGGCGCTCTTCGGCCAGCTTGGGGCCCTCTTGGAGGCGCCGTCTTGGGGCGATCTTGGGGGTCTCTTGGGCCGTCTTGGAGCGTCGGGCAGCCGAAAAGGCGAAAACGCACAAATTCTTAGAACACCTTTGGGACATCTATGAGATTTGCCTCTTGGGGTTCTCTCGGGAGGCCTCTTGGAAGTCTCTTGGAGCGTCTGGGAGGCCTCTTGGGTCATCTTGTGACCATCTTGAGCGTCTTGGAGCGATCGTTCGGCGACTCGGGGCCCTCGTGGACCGTCTTGGCCCGTCTTTGGGCCCTTTTGGGCCCGAACACTTCAGGCGGGAAGCCGCGGGGGAGCCCAGAGGGCACGCAGGATTCCCCAGGAGATTTTGAACATTTGGGGCCCTGGGCCTCTTTTAAAGACTCCTCGGGACTGAGGATTGAGGCGCCAGGGAGTAGGCAAAGGACCTGAGGACACGCCCACTCCGTGCCCAGAGGCACGGTGGCGGATGACGGGAAGCGCCTCCGGCGTGGACCGTTTGTCTTTTGGGAAGTTTTTTCTTTTAATTAGGGTTCCGGCCGCATCCCGAAACTCGCTGGCGGATTCCGGGTTTTCGGGCCCAAGACGGCCCCAGAGGCTTCCAAGACGGCAAAAGACCTCCCCAACCGCCCCCCAGACGACCTGAGAGAGACCCAAGAGTGCTCCAAGACGGCCCAAAAGCGTTCCAAGACGGCCCAAGAAGCTTTCGATATGCCCACGAGAGCCCCAAGAGCCCTCCCAAGAGGGCCCCGAAAAGCAAAAATCAACGCTTTTCATTGTGTTTTCCATTGTTTTGGGGGTTGTCGCCTTTTCCAGCTGCCGACGCCCCAAGACGGCCCAAGAGACCCCAATCTTGCCCCAAGATGGCCCAAGAGGCCCGCAAGAGGGCCCCAAGACGGCCCAAGAGAGCCCCAATATGGCCCAAGAAGCGCCCAAAACGGCCCAAGAGGGCCCCAAAACGGCCCCCAGAAGGGCCCAAGAGGGGGACCACGAACCGTCAATTCGAGCTTTCCGCCCCAAGAGGCCCCCAGGAGGCCCCAAGAGGCCCAAAAGAACCCCCCAAACGGCCCCAAAACGGCCCCCAAGAGGCCCAAAAGATGCCCCAAGAGGCGCCAAAACGGCCCCTAAGAGGCTTGTGTTCTTTCAGGGGGGGCAGTGAAACAACATCGGCCGTCTTGGGGTTCTCTTGGGTCATCTTGGGGCGATCTTGGGGCGTCTTCGGGGCTCTCTCGTGCAACGGCGGTCCACGTGCGACGACAACGACAACGACGACGAGCGACGAACGATGACGCATGACTGCGACGACGACAATGACGACGACGACGACGACGACGACGACGACGACGACGACGACGACGACGAAGGACCCCCTTCGACGACGACGCCGACGGACGCCGAACGGCCAAAGAGGGCCCCAATACGGCCCAAGAGGCGCCCAAGCCGGCCCAAGAGGGCCCCAAGACAGCCCCAGGAAGGGCCCAAGAGGGGGACCACGAACCGACAATTTGAGCCTTCCGCCCCACGAGGCCCCCAGGAGGCCCCAAGATGCCACAAACAAACCAAACGACGCGAAAACGGCCTCCAAAAACTTCAAAAGAGGCCCCCAAAGTATCCAAAACGGATCACAAGAGGCCTGTGCTCTTTCAGGTCTCGAGGACGACGACGACGTCGACGACAACGACGACGACGAGTGACGACTGCGACGACGACGACGACGTCGAACGACGAACGACGATAACGACGACACGAACGATGAACGACGACGACGCGTCAGACGACGACGACGACAGACGACGGACGACGAAGACGACGAACGATGAACGACGAAGGACACGACGCAGACGGACGACGAACGGCGAAAGACGAAGACGACATAGAGCCCGAGAGCCCAAGAGGCTCCACAACGTCCTTCAATAACCTAGTTCCCGTCTTGGGGTTTCCCTCGGGCTCTCTTTGGCCGTCATGAGGCGATCTTCCGGTCCTTCGGCGTTCACGGTTTAC